CCTATAGGGCCCAGTGGCTCAGCCTCCCAATTACCTGAGGTGGTCACTCTTGGTGCACCCCCTTGTGGGGTTTGTGCACAGTCTTGTTGTAGTTAAGCCTTGATTGTTGTAGGTAACACTAGCGGGGATTTGACCTGCAGGCCAATTGGCTGTGAGAATCAACTGTGTCTGCAGTGGGAGAACCTCTGTCCTGATTTCTAGGGAGGTGCTAATTAGCCCCTGCCTGAGGCTATCCAACAAATGCCTGCATGCAAGGCTTGGGTAGGGCAGGTCCCAGGGGATCAACAGGGTGGGCGGAGCGAGCAGTTATGGCTGCTCTCAGTCCTGCCTTCAGAGGCTCTGATTCTCAGTGTCCCAGCAATTGCTGCAAGTACCTCGGAGAGAAAGCTGCCCTCGAGTTCCGACCAATGCCAGACAGTCCTGCTGCTGCCGTATGAGTCTGGGTCCCGAGAGACTCGCCTGGAACTGGAGCTCAGAACCTGAGACTCCCTCCCGATTAAAAACGACATCCGTGCCCTCAGCCGCCAGCCTCCTCCGCATGCACCTCCGCGCCTTAGTATTTTACTTCCGCCCTGCACCTCCTCTGAGTCTCAGTATGCTTTTCTCTTTCCTCCTAGTTGTAGAATTTCCACTCAGCCAGCCTTCCTGTGGTTCTAGGTGATGTACATTCCGTCTTTTAGTTGTATTTTTGAAGTGGTTGTGCGGGCAGCAAACTCCGGTGTTTACCTATGCCGCCATCTTGGTTCTCTCCAACTTATTCTTGAAATTATTTGACAGTATTTATCAAACTTGAACATAAGCTTTATCATGACTTTTAGCAGTACCACTCTAAGATATATATACTCAACAGATATACATAGATATTTGTGTCAAAGACAAATACAAGAACATTTATATCATCACTGTTTGAAATAGCCCCAAACTGAAAGAACTCTGAATATCCATCAGCAATAGAATGAATAAATAAACTGTGGTATATTTGTATAATGGAATGCTATATAGCAATGAAATTAAACTATTGGTACTCAGAAACATAAAGTTCAAAATTGATGAAACTAACCATGATATGCATGTTCTACCATTTATATAATGTTCAAAAGCAGATAAAACTATAGTGATACAAGTATAGATACCGGTTATTTGTAAACAGTAAAACACAATTGCTGAGAGTGGCTTGAGGGGAATTTTATATTGCTGGTTATATTCTATTTCTTGATTTGGGTCCTGATAACAAGTGTGCATTTATTTTGTCAAAGTCTATATACACTTAGGATCTGTACACATTTTTGTATGTATGTCCTACTTCAATAAAACTTTATTTAAAATTCTCAAGGAAGTTAATTTGGAGGGAAAAATTATAAAAACATTTTTACAAAGAAAACTCAGTTAAATTTTTCAGTTGAAAATATTCAAATTAATTTTTCCTTGATTTTTTGAGTCTTCATTAACATTACCAATGCCCTAGCGATAGCCATATCATTTAAATAAATTAATTATATAAGTGCATGTGTGTATTATAATAATAATAGTAAGAAATTTGGCCAATATTCATTTTGTTTTAATCACTGCAGCAAGCATTATTTTATTTATTTAACAATTCATTGAGCATTTGTCATTTACCAGGTACTGTGCTATATATGTTTATCTGTAACTTAATCTGTACAAAAACCCTCTGAGATAGAAAAATGATATTCCTGTTACAAATATGAAATAACCTAAATAACCTAATTTATATAGTGATTATATAAAATTTTTACTTGTATCCTATAAATAGTTCAAGATTAATTGTCTTTTCTATTCCACCTCAGACCTAGAAATATTTTTCAGAGATATTACCTTGTATAATTTAAGGCTGCTGGAAAGCAGAGTATATGTAGATCAATGATGAATAAAAATATAAAACTTATATCTTCCCCTACTTAAAACTCTTTGGTGGCTTCCCCTAGCTATCAGGACAAGACCCAAATTCTGTAACTTAGTATTCAAAGTCCTTTATAATGTTAGATTTTTCTCATTTTTGGTTCAGCCATATCAGATTAATGTTAATTTGCCCAATTTTGTAGTTCTTTGTTTTCTGTGTCTAATGGGTGCTTTTCTTGCTTTCTTTACTCATGTACTAGTATTTGCTTTCCAACAGATTAAGCATCAGGTCTTCTCATGGTCATTATTTGTTACCCAGCCCAATCCTTCCTGATCTAGCTGTTTCACTTCTGTAGCTCCACAATACTGAATAAATCTGTTATTTCTGTTCTATTTATCTCCACACACTTAAACTACTAGTCTTAACATTAGTCTTAGGATAAGGACTATCTCTTATTTGATTTTGTTTCCCCGTTATCTAACACTTAAGTGACAAGTGCATTAACATAAGACTGTAAAGAGAAATTAGGATCAATTCAAGTAATATCTTAAATGTTAGACTGAGGAATGTTTGCACCTTTTATTCGATATATACTAATTAGCCCTGAAGACTTTTGAGGATAATAAAGTAGACTATAGCCCCAGCCAGTTGCTCAGTGGTTAGAGCACAGCCCTAGGACCAAAGGGTCTCAGGTTTAATTTCTAGTCAAGGACATGTACCTGAGTTGCAGGTTTGATCCTCAGCTCCCAGTCACGGTGCATGAAGGAGGCAACCAATTGGTGTGTCTCTCATTCACACTGATGTTTCTCTTTCTCTCTCTTCCTCCCTCCCTCCCTTCCTTCTTCCTCCCACCCCCCCCCACCCCCTTTCATTCTCTCTAAAAAAGTTATGGAAAAAATATATCCTCAGGTGAAGATTAACATAAAAATAAAGTAGACTATATATACTTTACAGTGTATTAAGTGAAAATAGATATGGGGAAATTCATTAAGAAGCTATTGGAATAGTCCAAGTATGCAGTGATGCAGGTTTGAACTAGGGTGATGGCACTGAGAACAGGAAATTAAAAATAGAGTGTATTGCTTGATTAAAAGAACTTGGCACTGATTGGATGCAGATAGGAGAACAGAGTGGGGTACACAGTGTTGGATTAGGGAAGAAGAATGGTGCAGGAGAGGGAAAGGACAAAAATGAAACTTACACAAAAGGTTTTTGCTCAGAGATAATACCTCACATTTTTCTTTTCTGAGAATTGAAATAATCTTAAGGATAAACTATTCTTTTGCAGTCACATAAACTGTAGTTAGTAAGATATGATGTCAGATACACTATTGAAGTAAATTAAAAAGAGCTAGAACACTAAACATGGGCCAATCTGTGTGTTCCTCTGCCTTTAGCTATGGCATCAGTGTTTAGTTGAACTTCTCTAAAATTACATAAACATTGAAGCATTTTTTTTAATCCTCACCTAAGGATTTTTTTTTTTTCATTGATTTTAGTGGTGGTGGGAGTGGTGGGGGGAGAAAGAGAGACAGAGAGAGAAACATCTATTGCTTGCCTCCTGCATGCGCCCTGAAGCCCGGGATCAAGCCTGCAACAGAAGTATGTTTCCCCGGCCAGAATTGAACCCTCAACCCTTTGGTCTGAGGGCCAACTGAGCTGGCCAGGCGACAATTCTAATTCAGATAAAATTGGTAGATTTTCTAATGGTACCTGTTAAATGTTAATATACATTTAAGTTCCTTCTCTCTCTCTCTCTTCACCTTTACATGAAGAGATTTTTAACAGGAAGGGAAATAGCAGCCTGTTACCTTCATTCTTCACCCCATTATTTTTGGGGGGTATTCCTAGTGGGAGAGGGTGGAAACTAACATCAAACTTATTTATACTGTCAGCTTTAACCATGATCCCCTTTCCCCCCAACTCTCATAACTAGGCTCATAAGGGAAATAAGTAGTTCCTCTTAAAAAATTGGTTAAACATGTTTAAAGATGTTTGAATGTATTTGGAAACAAAAATTATCTTTCATTTAGTATGACCCAGAGCTATCATCTCGACAATTTGGGGTTGAACTGTCCCGTTTGACTAGTGAAGATCGAACTGTTCCTTTAGTGGTGGAAAAGCTCATAAACTACATTGAAATGCATGGACTGTACACAGAAGGTATTTACCGAAAGTCTGGTTCAACTAATAAAATCAAGGAGCTTCGACAAGGTCTAGACACAGGTAAGAATGGAGCCCTCCAAATCAAGACCAAATGACAAAATAGTCATTTTGTGCTCTTAAAGTTTTTATTACCTCCTGCATGCGCCCTGTTGATCATTTTTTGTGCCCGAAGAATGTAATCTTTTCTGTGATGCTTATTTAATCATTTTGTGGCTTTCTAAAGAGACTTTTTACAAAAACAAAAAAGTGTTTGATTTTAGAGAGAGAGAGATCAATGTGTGAGAGAAACATTGCTTAGTTGCCTCCCAGTGCACACCTGGACCAGGAACTGAACCTGAAACCTGGGCTTGTGCCTTGACCAGGAATTTAATTGGCAACCTTTCCGTGCATGGGATATCACTCAATCAAATAAGCCACACAGGCCAGGAGGCTTTGATTTTTATGTGGCCAATTCAGCAAACATATATTGAGTGTGTCATTTATACAAGACATTATTAGGTACTTCAGACAAATCTCATTTAACCTTTTTAACAGTCTGGTAGGATTATGATATCTGTAATTTGCAAAGAAAAATTTAGGTTCAGGGTAATTAAATGAACTGTTGATGATGCAGGGCATTGAGCTAATGCTGTTATATGTAATACAGTGGGGCCTTGACTTACAAGTGTCCCAACTAATGAGTTTTTTGAGATACCAGCTGTCTCTTCGCCGATTTTTTGCATTGAGTTGACAGAGTAATTTGAGTTAACGAGCTCCTTTAGGAGCTCGGTTTCGGAACGAATTAAACTCTTAAGTCAAGGCCCCACTGTAATCTTCACAACAGTCCTATGAATTAGGGATTATTATCCCTGTTATAGATTAAAAAAACAGAGGTTTAAAGAGGGGCTTGCCCAAAGACTCATCACCCTTAAGGAGTCAAGCTGGAATTTAACACCAAATCTTGAGAATTCATAGTCTAAACCATTGCCTGTTAATCTCTATTTTTCTGATTCCAAGTACAGTTTGCAGTACATCTTCCTGCCTTCCTACATTGATGACATAGTTATTTAAACTGATAATTAGTGGGTTGAACATGTAGCTGTGAACAGCTTTAGCTACAGCTCTGGAATGTATCCAGGGGTTTGACTTTGGTTTCATTCTCAACTTCTACTCTTTATTGCTATTGGGAATAGGTCATTTTGAATCACACTTATGTATAAAGCCTTTCTCTGCATAGTCAAGAAGCTACCCACAGTAGTAGTTGTTTTTTTTTTAATGAAAAAATCAATGAGAAATAAATCAGTAAGGAAATAATAACAGAAAATGCCTGGTAAAATTTAAGCAAGAGGTTCTGCCTACTTCAGTTTAAAGGCAATTGCCAACTTGACTCTTGGATATTGAGTCAATACAAGTGAAAAAATCAATCATCCTATATCCTTTCGATCATCTGGATTATCTCATCTTTAAACCTCATCTGTAGAAACTCCTTAAGGAGTTAATAAGTGAAACAGAGTAAAGGTATTTCCTTTACATTTCCTAAATTCAATTATTACTCTCCTTTCATCTCTAAGAATGACTTAAAATCAGCCTTACTTTTAGAAAATGTCCTCTGGGACTTTTTTCCATTTGCCATCTAAAGCATTGTTACTAAAAGTGTGGTTCAAGACAAACATAGCAAGATAAGTACAGAAGTTGAGAGTAAGCATTTGGAAACTGTTAGAGCAATTTAACAGTGCTTTGAAACTGATCTTTTATTTTACACATGGATCGGTCTATAACAGATTTGGAAAACAAACATAAGCTGCTCATTTACTAACTACAGTTAGAAGCACTGTTCCAAAGCATGGGATTAGATTGTAGAAGATATAAATTAGCCTGATTAAGAACATGAAGCCTTCTTTTGGTGATGATAGTTTCTGAAATGAATTATTTGAATCCCTTTGCATGTTTTGTCTTTATTATCTATAAACTCTTGTCTATAAATAGATGCTGAGAGTGTAAACCTAGATGACTATAACATACACGTCATTGCAAGTGTATTCAAACAATGGCTTCGTGATTTGCCCAATCCACTCATGACCTTTGAACTGTATGAGGAATTTCTTCGAGCTATGGGTAAGCACAGGCTTCCTGAGTTTGAGGGAAGGCCTACACTTGGGAAAGGAATGCCACCTTTGTTACAGATTATTTAGGCATCCTCTAGTGGTTTTACCATGAAGATCCAAAAGTATGCTTTTGGTAGTCAATATAAACTGGCAGTTAATGTTGACTTTTTTAGAGTCTCATTAAAATGTCAGTGTCCTAAAAGTTTTCTGAGTTAGTTGCTTGTCACAGATTGCAAGACTAGGGTTCCAAACAAATTAAAAGATTAAATAGGATATGTTAGAGGCACCTCTCACAGACACCAGAGAGGTGTTAGGGGACAGCCCCATGAGTGGGAGGGAGAGGGCTGTCCCCTCCTCGGTTCTAGTCTTGTATGAATGAATTCAAACAAGTGACTCCAGATAATTGCATTGCGTTAAAATTCATTTATTAAGAAAGTAAAGCATTCGAATTTATTAAAGAAACAAGGCAAGCAAATCTATCTGGCATGAAGCACGGATGGGCTCACAGCTAATCTGAAGAGTGAGTGTAGTGTGGGGATGGGTTGCCTTATATACTTTTCTGTCTATAAATTTTAAAATTCCTCTGGTAGATATCCTAGTACAAGTTAACTCTGAAAGTCTCTATCTCTTATACTTTGTTATGGCTTTCTCAGAATTTATGAGAAGCACCTGGCAATTAAATTCAGAGACTGTTGGCTTTTTTGTTTAAACAGTGGGATGAGATGAGAATGCACTCTTCCTTCCCTCTTATTCCTCCTCTGTGCCTCTCCCTCTTCCCTTCCCCCTCTTCTGCATTCTTTGGAGAAACATTAACTATTTGCTCTCATGCATCCTTGATTGGGGGAAGATAAGGGCTTGCTATTTATAAGCTGGCTACAGGCTGCCAAACTGTTTGGCCTTGCTTAATTTTCTTATCTCAGTTTCCCTATTCCTCCCACCATGGAATTTTCCTAGCTGCTTCTTAAACTATAACAGGATATTTAAGGGTCGGTTTATGATCATTTAAATTGTGAATCTAGCTAAGAACTCTGTGTAAAGCTGGCTGTCTATTTTATGCCAGGTTTAACAGGTTATGGAATTTAGTTTTTCAGTGCTGATATGTAGACTATGGATGAAGGCCTAGAAGTATGTAGTTTCTGAGGCATGACTTCTCAAAGTCCCATAAGACTTACTTAAAAATTATATGGCAGTTGATTAATTTTAATGGGGGATCAGTTAGCCACCAGAAGCCTGAAAAACTAGGGCATCTCTTTCCCCTTGTTGTAATCAAGGGTTACTGGAATATAGATTAAAACTCAGGAGATTGCTAATGAAAATAGAACTCAAGCAATGAGAGATAAGTGGTAACTGAGTTAACCTGCCACATAGGCACAACTACCTCTCCTAAAACTCTAGAGCCAGTCTCCTCTGCTACCTAATGTCTATCCAGGAAGGACATGCTGTATATAAGAGTGGATATTCAATCTTATATGCTGCTTTAATGTTTTTAGGTCTTCAGGAAAGGAAAGAGACAATCCGTGGTGTATACTCTGTGATTGATCAGCTCTCCCGAACTCATCTTAATACACTGGAACGCCTCATCTTTCATCTTGTCAGGTAACTTCAGCAGTTCCTTTTGGATTCTTTTAAATAAATGAAGAGCTCTTTTATTTGGAAAACTGATAGATCTTTTTTTCCCTATGTATAAAGTCAATGCCTGAAAGAGATAATTAACAATTCCTTGGAGCAGAAATTCTCAGACTAGTTGACAATCTGTCAGGTGCTTCTCTGCTGAGTCAAGTAACAACTTTAGCCTCAGGGTGGCACTGTGTAGCCTGACCTATTATTTAAATCCTGAACTAGAAAGTTTGTCTATCTGTTGACATAACCTCCTGATTCATAGGAGGTAGGTTCAGATGGTGCTGAGGAATGGACTGACCAAAGAGACTTCAGGAGTAGTTCTCTTCCTCTGAGTGTAAATATCAGCAGTACTTGGAAAAAACACCATCTTTCTTTTTAGATAAATAAGACTATCTGAAAATGCCTTAAAGTGTCTACTCTACATTCTTCAGACATGTTCATCTAGTAATGGTTACCTTGAGCCATGGGCCATAGATTTCCCTTGATAAGCTATCTGCTGGCCTACTACATTGCTTCAAAGAAGGGACAGAGTAAAAGTGTGTTTTCCAGAGGCAAAGGAACAGCTTTCAGAAAAGCCTACAGTATCTCCCTTCAACTGTTATGAATATCCTTCAGCACTATGTATTTGATGGCATACGTCCTCTTTCTCATTTCTGCCTACCTCCCTACTATTTTCTTTTTGTTTCACTTGGGGTCTTTCTTTCTTTTCTCTTTTTTTTTAGGATTGCTCTGCAGGAAAACACTAATCGAATGTCTGCTAATGCTTTAGCCATTGTGTTTGCACCCTGCATTCTACGCTGCCCTGATACCATTGACCCACTACAAAGCGTGCAGGACATCAGTAAGACTACCACGTAAGGCCAGTCACCATCACCTCTTCAGTGTAGTCACTTTATCGAGATATCAAACATAGAAAATTATTTTATAAGCTTAGATTATTTTTAAAAGATTTCTGGCCCTAGCTGGTTTGCTCAGTGAATAGAGCATTGGCTTGCGAACTGAAGGGTCCCGGGTTCGATTCCTATCAAGGGCCATGCCTGGGTTTCAGGCTCGATCCCCAGTAGGGGGCATGCAGGAGACAGCCAGTCAATGGTTCTTTCTCATCATTAATGTTCCTATCTCTCTCTCCAAGTCCTTCCTTTCTGAAATAAATAAAAATATATTTTTTAAAAAAGATTTCTGGACACCTTGGGTTTTTTAATGCTAAAGTTCTTTAGAGTCAGTTCAAGTTAGCATCATTTGTTGAGGATTCTTATTTTTAAAATTTGGCTTTTCTTGTTCAGTTGGTTAGAGCATCATTCCAATATGCCAAGGTTGTGGATTCTATCCCGAGTCAGGAATACATAATGAATACATAAATAAGTGGAACAAATCGATCTCTCTTTCTTTCTTTCTCTCAAATCAATAAAGATAACAAAATGATTGAAGCAAAGTGTCAACCTTTTTTCACCTTCTCCACTATCCCTACCAAAGGTTGAGCCCACAACCCAGGCATGTGCCCTGACCTAGAATGGAACCTTGACCTCCTGGTTCACAGGTCGACGCTCAACCACTGAGCCACAACAGCCGGGCAGGTGTCAACCTTTTTAAAAAAATAAAATGTGGCTTTTATTTAGGATTGCTATGTTTCTAAATATATTTTAAAATTTCAATTTACCAACTTATATATACTTTGTATCTTTTTGTAATCTAGTCTGGTCTTATGGTTTTGAATTCCTTTGCCTTTAGTATTCCTGTATTTCACCTTGGTCTTTTTCTTTGTGAGCCTCTGCTTTCCTTCAGGATTAGTGGCTCTTAACTTATCTGCCCAAGGCGGTTTTAAAAAATACTGGTGTTTGTGTCCTATCCCCACAATCTAGTCTGATTTAATTGTTCTGGGGTATGGCCTGGGCTTTGGGACTTATAACCACTCCTCATATGGGTACTGAAGTGCAGCCAAAGTTCTGAACCACCATTCTAAACCCTCCCAGCTCATAAAATAAGGGATGTTGATTTTTCTTTCTCCCTCTGACATCTACCACACTTAGCTGAAAGACAGTCTGTGGGTGCTATATTTTATTTGATTTACTTTAGCTCTTAACAGTTTTCTCTTTTTCCTCCCATTTCAGTTGTGTGGAGCTGATTGTTGTGGAACAAATGAATAAATATAAGGCTCGTCTCAAAGACATCAGTAGCCTGGAATTTGCTGAGAATAAGGCAAAGACCAGGTTGTCACTGATTCGTAGATCAATGGTAAGATGCACGATGTGAAATCATGGGGAAATGAGAGCCTTCCTGGGATTTTAAGTGTGCATTTATGGTGGAGAGAGATTATTCTCTGAGTCTTTTTCACATGAAACAAGTAAAAAAAATCATCAAATCTCAAGGTACTATGAATGCCTCATGTTTGATCTTTTATCTCTCTTTATTGTATGTGCAGAATATATATGCAGTTAAATATGTAGGATTTAAAAAATCAGGTATTTGAATAAAATGTTGGTGGTTTAATAATCTGCCCTATTTTCTTTTCCTGTCCTTTCTATGAAAACTTAACCTATCTTAACTTTCTTCTCTATTTCCTTTCACCATCTGTTTCTACTCTCAGCCATATCATTTTTGGTGGTCCTGCCAGTACTCCTGGGATGTAGAGAACTTAACCAATTGCAAAAATATGATTTATAAGGAATTAGAATTTCATCTATGAGTCTACCATTACCAAATAAAGATTCTTCAAGGGTTTATTGTTGTGTTTTGAGAAAAGTCTTGCAAAAATGGTATTTTATTTCTTCCATTTGGCCACTTTTCTGTTTACTATTTTTCTTTATAATCAATGACCTACTAGAATGTATAGATAATTCCAGTTCTCACTGACCAATAATCAATAGGTTCTGGGTAACTGGAAAACTACTTTGAATTAAAGTTTAATTATTGTACATTTTCTACCCTTCCCCTCAATTGTAAAACAAAATTGTAGTGATGAACACCCACTCAGATCTCCAGTAAATCTCTAAAAAGAAACAGGCTTCCCCATCATCATACCTGTGTTTTTCCAGTGGCCCTGAAATACTTCCTCCATCTTCATGGTTTATAGTTAGATTAATATTAAAATAACTCTGTTCTTCCTTCAATATTAAAACTGCCTGGCACAGAGCAAGTACTCAACAAATGTCTATTGATTAGATTAGAAGAGGGTCCTTTCTAAAAACAAACATAAAGATAGACTTTTTCCAAGCAGTAAAGCCCATCACAGGACACTATCTAAATCTTTTCCCCAGAAATTGAAAAAAGAAACCCCATTTAAAAGTGAAACCCTTTCTGTAGTATGAATTTTCAGGAACTCAGTTCTGAGAGGCTCATTTTAGCTCATCCAGGCAGGAAGGGAAGAGACCTTTTACTAAAAAGCTACTTTTTAAAGCAGATAGGCTAGCTGTGTTTTTTTGCTGATGCTGCAGAATAAGTCCACTGAAAGATTAAACCTTCTCTTTTAATGGGACAATAACATGTACATTCTAACCTTCTGCTTTCCTTTTCATGTCCTTCCTAATCCAGAAACCTGTACTAATTGCAGTTAGATTTATGAGCATTACCCGCAGTTCAGTCTCGGTATGTATTAATATTGCAATGTGTCAGCCACTTTACATTATTGTCTCTCATCCATCCAAGGGTTGTTCTACTGTCTGTCATTCATGCTTGTCCATCCGCAGTGTGCAGCCCAGGTAAGGCCCCACTTCCTGATCAGCCTTCACTTGCTTTTCTCTTACTCTCTTTCTTTAGAACCTTCATTTTTCCTTCCTCTGTATCATGCAGCTGAATAATCTCCATTTACAATATACACATTTTTCCTCTTTGTCAGATAAACCTCTTTGTGGTTTCTCTTTGGTTGGATCATTAAAAGGTGAATGTTGAAAGCATTGAGTTATCAAATTAATTTCTGTTTTCTGAGCTGTGTTCTCATTAGTCTCCTTCACTTCATTACTTGAAATATCTGTTGCTACTTCCAACGTTCTCCATTATTAGTAATGCTTATATGTCCATTCATATCTGTGACTTCAGTGGTGTCTTCCCAGGTATAAAAGTATGGCTCTTATCCAATTAGCATTTTTTAGACTGAGCAGCAAATAGTAGTGTGCAAATTGATGGCCTTAAATATCACAGTATAATAGAACTTACATCAGGATTTTATTAATTATACAAAATAGAAATGGAGATTTGAGAACACCAGTATATAGGGAAACTAATTTCAGAGACTATCCATCTATGTGTAACCAGTTCTTTGAGGATCTCAACTTGCTGACAAATAAATACAAATCAGTTTTGCTTTTTATCTAGTAACTGTCCTCTAACTCTACCATGCCAAACTCTTTTCCTACTGGATATTGACTACCTTAACAACATCTTGTCACTATTCCATAGTACTCAAATGCTGTAGTCTTATTTCAGTATTTAAGACTTAGTTCTCTTCATACTGCTTCAGTCACGGGCTTGATATAGTACTCTTATAACTTTATCCAAGGACAAACTGATTTTAATCTGGGGTTGAAAACTTTGGGGGTAGATGAGTAGGGGTTTGTTTCCTTTTTTTGGTCACACACTTCTGCCCTCTCTTTTTCTTGTGCTTTTTCTTCCTCTGGTGTTGAAGCTGGGAGGAGTGATAGGGAGACAGAATTCTGCATATCCCAGTGTTGAGGTGGCACTTCTCTTTCTTGGTTGTTCCACAGTATTTTCCAGCTCTTTGTCAACAGGCTAAATGAAGATGAGTGATAGCTCAAGTTTACCCTGATGACAGTGAGCTCAATCCTATCCCATTTCCATAAGCATTGGTGTCATCCCATGCAAGATTTTGTCACATCTTTTAGCTAAACCTGACTGATGGCATTCACACCTAGTGACTCTGATATGTATTTGTTTTGCAAGACTTTATCCAATCAAATCTACCTCTTATTGTACATTGGGGTAGAGGTTACATTTTTTTATACTTCTTGGGAACCAACAACTCAGGTGGGCAATAGTTTTGCCTACCTCTCTACCTGACACTTACCCACCACACTTTCTCTCCATTTCTCTTTTCTCCTGTGCATATAACAGAGAGGCAAATCAGTAAATCTTGTGCCTATATAGGTAACCAAACGGGATGAAATACTAGTGTGCCTTTCTTTTAGATGACCTCAAACTTTGATTCTAACTTACACAATGGATTCACATACAACTGCTTTTTTTCTCCAAAGAGGGGATGGAATATACTTTTTTCATAAATTCTCTGTTTCCCTCAAAGTCCAATAAACCCCTCTTTTCAGCCTTTTTAGATTCACACCGAGGGAAGGTGTTGCAATATTGACAATAGGGCTGGTTCAATAAATCGATGCCTCTCAGTAAGCCCTAAGAGAAGAGGCCAGTAGCAACTACTATTGGCTCATTGAAGTTAGAAAAAGGGGTATTTAATTTGGGCATTATTCACAGTTTTGGAACAAGAGGAAAAATCCCATTGAACGTCCTAATGCATATGCATTTAGCTGTAGAAAAGACTTTAGGCCCAGTCTTAAGAATAAGACTGTCTCAGGGACATATTTGATATCCAGTAAGCATCTATGGAAAATTGAATCTAAAAGAGATAGAAGTTAGTTTTAAGGATATCCATTAAAAATAGACTGACTCTAATTAAAGTCACTGATGTTCTTGTATTCATAAATTTTTAAAAATTTCTACTTTAAATACAATAGTGGCTTTTCTGAAATGCCGAGTGAACTGCATTTATAAGAAGTATGTTTCATTATTGACAATGTGAAAAGTCATTTGAGTTGGGTGTTGAAAGATGAGTAGTAATTTTAAAAAAATGGAGAAAAAAAAGAGGAAGACAATTCCAGAGGCAAGGAAGCATGAAACAGGAATTTATGAATAATAACTACTTTATATAGCTAGAGCAGGTGTGGAAGTGACAGAAGAATTAAGAAAGGTAGATTAGAACCATGTGTGCAACATTAAGAATTTAGAATTTTCTACTTTGAAGCATTTCGGAGCTATAGAAAGGTTTTTAAGTAGGAATATCACTGTCAATGTGCCTTTTAGAAGATAATCTGAAGAATAATGATTAGAGATGGGTAAAACTGAGAGCCATATATCAGAAGGCTCTCGACTTGTAAATAATCATGTTGCCATTATTAAAATAGATTGAATCCTCATAATTTCATTTTGAAGTGATTTTGAAAATATAGATGACCCTTGACAACATGGGTTTGAACTGCATGGGGCAGGGCCACTTATACGTTGTTTTGTTTTTCAATAAATACCCAGCCAGCCCTCCATATCACCAGGTTGGGAATCCGCGATGTGGAGGGATGATTACATGCATTGTTCTATGTCATTTTATTTAGATAAGGGACTTAAGCATCCATTAATTTGGGGCAGGAGGTCCAGGATTCTGTCCCCCATGAATACTGAGGGACAACTGTGGCAAAGTTTTGGGGGAGTCAAAAGTTATATGAGGATTTTTTACTGTGTGGGTGGTTGACACCCCTAACCCCATGTTGTTCAAGAGTCAACTATTTCTATTTCTGCTACTATGTTGAAAGGGGTAATTAGATTTATGGGACATAACCTTGACTAAGCTATTCTCAGACTAACTGCAGAACATGATATGCTTACAATCCACCCAGTAATACCTTTTCTATAACAAATCTCTTTTTGTTACTTATTTATGCTATAATTCCAAGCATAAACGTTGGTTTAGCACTATGTAAGCTAATAAACTATAAAGAACATAATTGAAATAAAGTTTACTAATCTGTAAAACCCTCATAAATTATCTTCTTAAAAGATGTAACACACAAAGGCTTCCATAGCCAAACAAAGTTGGGATATAATGTGTAACATTTTCAAGACTTTGACCATGGAGTCCTTTTTTTCATAATATATCTAGTTGAACAAGGGTTCTAAGAATAACATTTTTATTTTTTTAAAAATAGTATCAGTTGCTATATTTATTTAGTGTGGAATTTTAAAATTGATTTAGGTTTTTTTCAGTATTTTCCTGCTGTGCTTGTAGTGATTGGCAGTATTTGTTAATTTTGTATATGCTAGGCTTTATTAAAGACACCTGCATATGTCTTGTTAGAAATTGGCATACCTGCATTTCTTTATTAATGTGGGTAAGTAGATATGTGGGGTTAAGCTTTGCAATTTACACCAAAAGAAGCAAGAAATGCCTCTCCAAAAGTTAAGTTTTAATAGTTTGAAAGCCAGCAATCAATTGAAAAGTT